GACTTTTGCTAAGCTATAAGGCATGTTAAACATTGAAGAGATGGTAGAAAGAAATTGTCTGATCTCTGAAACTGAGGGTCTTTAAAATTTGGGTAATATAGCTATGTGTGTAATTTTCAGAGGAATAATAGATATCTTGGGGTTTCAAACACAAGCAAAGTTGTTCTCTCTTCATGTATAACACCTATATTCTCATGAAAGCACACCGGCTTACATTTATGTAAAGTAAAATTCAGACAAAAGTCATTCCAGCATTTTAGAGTTCAAGATAGAGTTACCTTTGGAAGAGGGGTTTGCATAACGACTGAAACAGAGCATGGGAGGGTGGTATCTTTTTGGTTGCGAATAATATTCTGTTTCTTGGTTATTCTTGTGTGTTCAGCTTATGGACAACATTGCGTTGATCATTCATGGTATGTTGTTGTTTGTTTATTATCTTACTACATTTTAGCAAAAAGTAAAAGTCAAAACCAAAAACAAACAGGAAACAAATAAACCATAAGACAAGAGGGATGGGAGATCATGGCAGCAGGCAAAGAAGCAGAGCTATGTATATATCTCACAGCCACTATCTTATACTCATTAGACTTGTTTCAGGTGTTTTAGAGGCCAGACCTTATTACATTTTCTAGTAGAAAGAGTTTGTCTTAGAAATATTTGTTTGATGCAACCTACCTATTGGTGTGACTATATTGACATTGTCCACTTGTTGGGATAAACATGCCACATCAACTCAAGGTCTAAAGAAGATTCTGCCCCTAGTTCTTCAATCTTGTATCAGTTCACAATGTATAGTAGTCTTCTCAAATTGTTAACACCTGCCCCCTTCCATCAGTAGCTGCCTTTAGATGATATGCCAATATGTAGGAAGTTCCAAGAAGGTAGAGCGTGTCTGGTGATTGGATGATAATACAGGATTATCATTCAAAATCATGGGTGAATTTAGCTCAACCAGCAGTTCTGTTTCTGTGTTCTCTTGTTCTTGTGGCCTGGAAGCTGGTGGCATTTGTGTCCTCCAGAATGTGAGCAGCATTGCAAAGTAGCTAAGTGTCACCTTGGTTCTACCATTTCCTCTTTTCATCTTCTTAGATCTTAATCTTGTCTTCAACTCTCAGGAGTTACCCTCACAAAAACATCTCTAAATAGAAACTTCAGAACTAAACAGTTAAAATTATGCGTAACATTTGATTGATGATAATTTTAGAGCATTTACACATGATATATGTATTGCCTGTTTTATCATCATAATCATTCTGAGAAATAAAAGGTATGTATGCATTTTGAAACATAAAAAACCTGACATTCAGAAACAAAGAAAAAATGTTTTGCAGATAACATACCTAAAGTCAAAATCCAAGCTCTTTCACTGCTTGCCTGGTATTTTTTCTAAATTTTTGTTATCTATCTCCAAGAATAAAGTTATAATGGTGAAACACCAGGTAATAGAAAAGTTATTTTGGACAAACAGTTAATTCCTTCAAACCCTATGAGTAGATTCAGCATTATTAGGAGAAAAATCATTGGCTTTTGTACCTAGCTGATCCTGTGTGTGGATTTTGTCTGTACCATGAAAACATGGCCAAGTCCTATAACTTTGAAAAGTTATGTCCAACTTACAATGGCATATTCCACTCTCCTTGCTGTCAAAAGAATTAAATGTCCCAGATCACTTAGGAAAAAGATAACAGACACTCTGTTAAGGGGCTGAACTAGGGAATAAGCAGCAGCAAGGGTTAAACATATTTCCCACAAAACTCTCTGATCTTATTTCACACCAAAATGTCATAAATGTCTGGTACTTACTAGAATACAATACCTTACAAACAAGAATGCCTACTCTCTTTTGGCATCATTAAATTATTTATGGAGGGTCCATATGCTAGAAACTGTTGAACAAATGAGTCAATGAAAAGTTAAACCTATCTATTTGGTAGACAAGTACTTTCCTTCCAAAGTAAATCAGACAGGCTCAAATACAGAGAAGGTTGAAAGAGCAAGTTATTTCTGGAACAGAAAATGTGAATTTTGTTGAGTTTTGTCACTAAGATGATTAGAATGAGTGTCCGATGCCCTTCTTCTATAGAAATCACAAATCCCAGGCCAAGTGAGGCAAACTATTAAAAAAAAAAAATTGCTGATTAAAAACAAACAAGTAAGCAAACACACAAACAAACAACCGCCTTCCCCATTGGCATGTCCCAAAGCCATTTCAGAAGAAATTTTTGAAGCCAGGGGTTGAGAATTTGAATCTGTTTTTAAAGTACTCTCTAGCCCTTCCTAAGTATAGGTCCATGAGTAGGTTGTCCAACTCTCCAAGCCTCATCTGGGAAATGGGGAGAATTTTCCAACCCCTACCTCAGAGCCCTCTTGTGAAAGTTGTATGAACTCAAGTATGTGAGGGCACGTGGTGCAACTCCTGGCACAGAGTGAGTGTCCAGGTAATGATGATCCTCTTTCTCTTACAGCCTTATCTCACATTACTGGTTTTGTGTAGGAATAGAGAATCTGGGATTTGGGTTTGGAATCCACCAGAGACTAATACAGCAGCGCCACCTGGTGACCATTTTACCACAATAGTAACCTAACAACGTCCTAAAGATCATGGGTGAGAAAGCTATCTCCCTTTGTTTCTGAAGATTTAAATAAAAATACAGTCTCTTGATATATTAGAGAGACTTTTATCATTATTGTAAGTGTCACTCCTTAAAAAAATCCAGAAATAATCAAATTCTCAGAGATTAAGTTTGAGTTATATTGTTTTTCATTCTACTGCCTTTGGAAAGCAGCTAAATATTATCTTCATCAGCATTGATTAAAAAAGGCGTAATGGAACATAAACCTTGTTAGAACTATTGAGAATTGACAGTTCACTCAGTTCTTCTTGGAGAAAATAAATTATTAGTAAAAAATGCATAGATATGAGGTCAGAAAACCATGATTATTTTATGTACAAGGGTCACCATAATAAATGTAGTGTTTCTTCATTTCCTAGTCTTCATTCTCTTGTGTTCGTTCCTTGTAACCAAGGGTTTTTCAGCAGAAACCTCTAGGTACATTTTAGGAAATTCCAAAATGTCTTGCAATTAGAAACAAAATTTTTGTGCATATTGGGTGGTGGTGCAGTACTATTGTTTTTTAATCCTAAACAAATAAACAAAAAAGAATTTCAGCTCTAAGAAAGCTTTGATAGAACATGGGTGTGGTGTTCTGAATGTTTATGTCTCCTGAAAATTCATACATTGAAATACCCCTAAGGTGATGGTATGAAAAAGTGGGGCTTTTCTGACATGATTAGCTCATGAGAACTCTGCCCTCATAAATGGAATTAGTGCCCTTATGGAAAAGGCCTGTGAGAACTTGTTTGGCCCTTCAGCCTTGTGAAGATACATAGAAAGTACAATCTATGAGGAACAGGCTCTCATCAGACCCCAAAACTGCTGGTGCCTTGATCTTGGACTTTCCAGCTTCCAAAACCGTAAGCAATGAATTTCTGTTGCTTATAAATTACCCAACCCAAGGCATTTTGTTATAACAGCCTAAACAGAACAAAGGCATTGGGTAAAACTAAGTTCAAGATCTTTGTTCCTTGCTTATTTTCTTAAACTATCCAATAAATCCATTCTTCCAGTTTTCTCTTCTGCCAGTACAGTGTGAACTGATGTTCAGAAAGGGAAAATGTATATATACAACATATTCTTAGAGCCTGGGCACCGGTTGTAGAGCTTTCTCCACACCCTCCCCTGGGTGCATGTATTCTAAAGCAAGAAGGTGCTGTGTGGGAAATCACCTTGATGTAGTGGTAGCTTCCAACTACACTATTATGCAGATTATACTAGAAGTCATAGAACAGAAAGACTCACAGACCAATAAAGATGCCAGAAGCACGGGGCTTATTAAATCAATTTTAAACCCCAGAAAAGAAACAAGGTGAAAGTCATGGGATAGGTTGACTCATTGAGGGTAAAGTGTGAGAGGGGTGGAAGGATCACAGTAGCTGAATGTTCTGCAATGTTGGTATATACACTCCTTTTCCCTCTGCCACATCATCCTTCTCCAGTGGTGGTGTGTTATACCAGAGTTGGGGTTTGAGCAATGAAAGAGGGGGCCAATGGAACATTCTTACTCTCTTCAAGACAATCAGGGGCAAACCACTGAAATTCACCATTTAGGTTGATGAGCTGGTATGGGTACCAGAATGGAAGTCAACAAAGAGTGAGCAAATTAAGACCTAATGGATAGTGAATGCTTAATTTTCTCATATATATCTAGTGTATCACATATAGTGTTTTCTTGGTCTTTCTTTCCCCTTCTATTTTTGTTCACACTCACATGCTCTACTTAGTTTTTCTGTCTTAAGGGTCGCTTTGTTGTTTAACACATCATAGGAATTTCATGTATCCCTTTGTTTTCCTGTCTTCTACAGTAGAATGGAATATTTTTGAACAACACAGCAAATGACTATTGCAGAACAGGATATTGTTGGCTGTTAAATATGAGCTCCAAGTTTGCTTGGATGACTCTGGCCCAGAAAAAGAGAGTTTCTTTTTATGTGCTTAGCACAGTCTTCTGTAACTTGAGGAACAGACACTTCTGATTTTGGTTGACCTGGATTTAATCCTTGCAGGGGTACAAGCCATAGGTGTCAAATGAAACTGGCCTTCATCCAAGATTCATCAAGTAGTTGGCAGATGTTAGGCATGTTTGGAGATAGGAGTTCTGTGGTCTCTAAATCCCTAACCTTGAGAATGAGGAAGCTTGTGGGAGTCCCTGGGAAGACCTAAATGGTCCTCTCTTTCTAAATTCCCCCAAACAGTGCCTTTCTCAGGTCCCCTTGGCCTGTATTGAATGTTCCCTCCTCTCTCATTTTTTGTTAGCTGAGATGATTCTTTAAAAAATTCCAGCACTGTTCCAGATTAAAGGTGGACACCACTCCTTCCTAACAGCCCTCCTCCCCCAACCAGTCTCTGGATGAGTGCAGAAAAACACAACAGCCCTACTCAATTGATTTTATTTTCATTTTTTATTGAAAGCTTCATCAAAGAAAACAGAAGTTTAAACCTAACATCCACTGATCTACAGAAAGCCCAAGGGATGGGGGAGATAGTTGCTAATTTGACTGTGGTACAGATGAAGAAATTAAAAATAAAACCAGAAACACCTTAGAATTACAGAAGTTTCCATGACAGTCAGAGACAGCAGTACAAAAATGCTCTTAAATAAAGTTCAAAATTGAATGATGTTTCAGAAGTTCCATGAAGTTGAATAAGGACTGAAACAAGGGTTTTAAAAGAAGCTGTGTCCCATTTTTTTTTAGACACTGAATATCTCATAGCAGATACTACTACATATATTTTTTTAAATTAAGATTCCATTTTGTTTTCTTCTTCTTTTGAAATAAATGGAAGCATCTGTGTCCAGAATAAACTTTTTCAAGTGTCTCTTTGAAATAATTTTTACAGTTCCTGAAAAGCAGGGAATAACTCATTTTTTAAAATATATATGAAGAGATAACATATTTGAGGGAGGAGGAAAGAACATCTTTCTCAATAACCTAGACCAGAGGGTTTGAAACAAAATATAACATTAAAGTTACATTTTGGACATTATTTAAATTTGATGTGATCATAAAAATATCCATGGGAGTGTCAAAGTCATTCAGCCTTAATACAGTAATGCAGTCAAAATAGAACGAAAACAGTGCAATAGTTTTGGTCAAAGATTTAAAAATATGAATATGACTGTGCCAAGAGCTACCATTATACTCTCTTTGCAGAAATTGTGTGGATCCATGCTACTGGTTCATATTTAGTGGAGTGAAGGAACCAAAAATAACTTTCTTTTGAGGGAAGCCGAATTCTTTGCTATGATTTTTTTTCCTGTATATTCTGCAAGAATACAGCCAACTCTCAATTATTTCTGGTAGATAGGAAAAGACATTATAGATAATCAAAATTTATGACATATAATGTACTGACATTAATTTTACCAATGATTTCAAACTCCCTTAAGAAATTAATACTTTATAAGAAATAAAACAATCAATTCTTATTTCCAATTGTTTGTCCCACCCTCAGAGTGACATGCTAATAAAAGGAAACAGAGCCCAAGGCCTACACATTGAAAAGAAAAAACAAAACACACCCGCAAAGTAGATAATTAGCCCTTCAAAAATTGAGAGTGATTGTATTTATGCACAACTCAGAAATTGGGGCAGTAGTAAGAAAAGCTCAAGTATGACTCAGTGGCCTAGTGGTTCTTCCTGCAGATCCAAGCTTGACTGCACCTTTCCTTCAGCTTTAAAGCTTTCTGAGTGGAAGAAAATTTTCTTGATATATTATTTTGCCTCACAAAAATAAACAGAAATGAATATTGAAAGACATTCATCCCTTTTTTGCTACAGAGAGTATATCTACATGTTAGAGTATAAAGCCAATGATAAATTAATCTGGAGTGAACTCTTGTCTCTCACATCATACAAGGTCTTTGGGGTCACTTGGGGATTTAGCGTTTAGTTTTTGTACTTTCCTGAACGCTATGTAATCTGCAAAGGACAGCCATGACCAAGAGCATTTGGGATTAAAGGACCAATTTCATACTTAAGAATGTTTGGTAGGAAATGTTAAACTTGAGTCAGACCCAACTGTCTTCCAATGCCACAGTGGATGTCATTTGTAAAACAAATTGATTCATTAATGAAATCCCATTATCACTTGCCACAGGAAGGGTAGAGTGTACAGAATCAATGAGCCTGTTTAAATTCTGTCAATCCCTCAGATTGAAGTGAGAGGCTGTCAGTCCCAGTAAGCTCAAAATTTTGAAGCATGCCAGCTACAATAACATGAAAGACAAAATCTCATCCTTTACTTTTTACTGAAGACAAAGTAATATAGATCAAGGTTCTATGACATGTTAAAGCTTTATTATAGTGCATGATTCCTCAAAGGTGCTGAATGTTATACATGTACATAAATATTGTCCCTTTACTTGACTTCAAATCATATAAAAAACATGTATTACTGAAACCCACTTGAGAATTTCTCTCTGCTTATCAGCTCATCTGCAGTGGTTCATGCACTCAAATTAAGAATGAAAATGAATTGCCAAATGTATTTTAATCTCCTATTAACATCATAATCTGTCTAGACAGCCTATTGAAACTTCTCCTCAATCGTGAAGATGACTGCAAGAGTCCTAATTAAATCAAATTTCACTTTTCATTAATAGGGGTTTTAGGCCACTGTAAAAAAAAAATAAATAAAAATAGGTATTTAGCAAATATCCCAATTATTTAAATAAAGAGGTTTTTTTTGGGGGGGAAAAAACAATTACTTTTCTGGGGTCATACATAAATTGAAAATAGTTTTTAAAGCACTTTGCAAGGGATCCAAAGATGTATTTTTAGGCATAGTAAAATAAAGTGAACTTCATGCTTTAAACAGCCTTCTTCGGTTGTCAGTCTTATATGTCTAATGGGAGAGCTTTTAACACCATGCAGTTTTTCATTAGAAGGGGGTGGAAGTGAGTCATATGCTTTCAAATGTGACAGATCTGCTAAGGTCACAGGAAGAAGTAATTCAAGTGAAATATGGAGGTAACATTCTGAAATGTTGAAATCTACCAAGGAAACAAACTAATCCTGGCAAAACTAGAGTCAGGTAAGGATTTTTTTAAGAGTACTGTGACATTTGCAATATTCAAAACATGTCAGCATTCAAGGACAAACCGTCATCAGCACCTGCCAGTATTACCTTCAGTTCACTTGGGCTCATTATGTTGTCTTTAGAAGACATGGCCACGTATTGGGGAGCTCCCAGTTATCATGCACACTTTGCCTCCCTTGACAACGCCTTATCATTATTGAAAGAAAACTCACTCTTGCACTGACCATGAAACTAGCATTTACATGAGACAGTGTTTCTCTCATTTGGATTGTGGCTTTAGTTTGTTTCCTCATGTTTAAGCTAAATCTTGGCATTAAAGTCAAAAGGAAAAATGGAAACATCCAAATAAATGCTTGAAAATCTGGTGGACCAGAATGCATGGAAAATTAACTTCAACTTAAAAAAAAAAATTATAGTCCTAACTAGGATGGGTGACAAAGACCCTATCTCAAAAAAAAAAAAAAAAGAAAAAAAGAAAAAAAAAATCACTACAATATATTTTGTTGATTAAATTTGAATTCTGCTGTCTGTATATATTGAAAACTTATTTTGGTTTATTATCACACAATGTAATGCTGCTTACCTGTTGATGCTTTTTTTTTTCTCCCAGACTTGGCTCTTCAAAACAAGTCTTAGGTAAGACAACGGACAAAGCAGGGCAAATTTGAGTATGTGCCATTGTTTTCCTTCTATTTTTTTTTCTTTTTGGTTTGAAAACATATATTTTATAGAATGGCATGATATAAACTATCCAAACACAAAACACACATGAACACATCAAATGACAGGTCATTTCCTCTTGCAGAAAGTGGCTTAAAAAATTGATATTGAAATTTCATAGTTGAAAAAAATATTTCTGAATGTACAAATAAAGCAGCAGTTTTGAATAGAAACAGGAAGTTACCTAGGCACATTCATTAGCCACATGGTAGCTACCTCTTAGCCTCATTGTTGATTGTGTAAATGAGACTTTCTTTGTATCACATTAATACATGTTTTTGGTTATTTTTTCACAGAAATGAAAGAAAGTATATTAGTTTCATATTCAAATGAATTATGCCCAGGATAATCCTTATTTATACAAAGAGTTTAGAGAGTGAAAAAGAGAAACAGAAAATATGGTTCCCATATATGTCTTTTTGTACCCCAAAAAACTTTGGGGCCCACTTTTCAAAGATAAAAACTTCAGTGCCACCTTTATAATGCATGGGAAACTGAAGGATGGAACAAAAGATAGTATAAATCTAGCATTTTCTCTAAAGCATGAAAAACCATAATGGTGGGTGTGACCAGTTGGAATTTCTCTGTAACACACACTACATTTTCTTGGATACACGTTGTCTCCATTGTGACCATAAATATATGGAGTCATTCTCTGATTTGAGCTTCCAATTCATGGGGTTGCAAATAAGAGAACCAGAGTTTATATAAATAGTGGAATACTGACAATTTCACATGAGTCAACCTTATTACTCATGTTGACATAATGGGAATATGATTTATCTTTAAAACTTTTTAGTTTTTAAAAAGCCTACCCTGTTTTATAGTACACTTAAATACATTTCCCTGCTTCTTTTGGACTAAGACAGGCTCCTGTGACTTAGTTTGCGAAAAAGAGTTTCACCTATTTGATTCAAAGGATTCATTCAGAAAGCAATCTAGTGAATGGTTCACCTAACAAAATTCTATTCCATTGTCCTTAATTTCAGGTAAAACTGTAAAGGTTGAACACATATCTCATGAATTAAAAATGTAGATATATTTTACAGGTGGGTCAATTTAATTCATTTTAGACAAAGTTTTGCATCATTCTAAATGCAAGTATTCCTCCTTGGTTTACATGATTGATCATACCTAATTCTTTTGGTTCTTTAATTATTGATATAAATCATACTGTTTCTTGATTGTCAACTAGCATTTTAAGGACTTCCCTAAACTCCACTAATAGAATTCTCATTCTTATTGGGCCTACATGCCTCAAAGAATTAAACTGAAAGAAAAAGTTCTTTCGGCAACACCAAGATATGAAAATACAATGAAAAGAGGCAAAAAGAAGATACCCCCTACCCATTTGCAAAACCAAGGTGTCTATTCATGGTAGGTGATAACAAAGACAGAGGTGAGAAGACAAAACCCAGAGGTGTGGTAATTTAGAGGGAAGACTATTGTTACAAATACAATGAGACCTTTCCAGGAGACCACTCACTGTTTCACAGAATATCACTAAGTTTTTTGACAAGTGACCTTTCAGACCAGGTTCAGAAAGTATCTTTAGCTGAAAATTCATACAAAGAATATTCAACCTGTTAAATAAGCATCTTGGTTTACTAGTGGCCATCAGTACAGGTTTCACTATTCAAGACAGCTAATGAGAAACCAGAAAAGCTCACAGAATTTAAAGCCACTTGGCTCTATCAATCAGTTGATACCCAGAACTGTTCATGCTGAAACTGCTAAACACAGCAGGTACAAGCTTCTGCTATCAATGAATATACATTTAAAGAAAAGAAAGACAACTCCCCCCACCCTCTTTTTTTGCACTATGTAAAACACCAGTGGAAGGTAGTTTAAACACAACAAAGTAAGAACTGGTCCGGCCATGTCGGTCAAATAAATTTTTTTTTGTTTTTTTTTTTTTAAAAGAAAAGAAATGAAAAACAACCTCTATCTTCTGGACTGTAATAGGGTGTCACTTCATCTTTGGTATAAAATAGGCCATCCATAGGCTGAATTTGATCACAACTAGGAAAGACTACAGAAATTGTCAACAATTTCTCTATCTATTGCTTTTTTTTTTGTTTTTTTTTTTGCACTTTTTGACCATAAGCTCCTATCTACTTAAGTTTTTTTTTTTTTTTAATGCTCTTAAGCTAGGTTTTGCAATGTGACAAGCAAAGCTGACTAAAAACTTTGTAAAGCTCATAAAAAAGACTGCAGATAAAAAGCACTAATGCTTTTGCTAGCGATCACGCTTTGTAAATTAAAAAATTCTGCATTCTGCCCCCCAAACACGCATTATTTCTAATGCAGTTGTTTTTAAACCAACATTAATAACTTTACTGTAAAATGTTTTAGCCTTTGAGAATGATTCATGTCAACACTTAAGACAAAGTTCATGAAAAGTCCCAGCATTTTTCCAATTCTTGCAGTTGCCATGGTTTCTTTTATCAACAAATTTTCTTCAAATGAAGAAAAACATTTTCATTTAAACTGTACAGTTTTTTTTCACCCTAAAAACTCAGTCTTAAACTTCTGTGCCAGTTAAAGCCAGCACAATATTTCAATTCTTTCTTGATTTTTGTTTTTAACAAGACGTTGACAGCTTGCCTCGAGAGCCTTTGACGTCCTTAAAATTAAGGCAATTAAGATTCAAGATAAACCTTACCTAAATATTTCTAAGAAAAAATAAAATAAAAAAAACCCACTAGATTTAAACAAGAAGGGAAAAAGAGAAAGTAGCTTAATTGTTGAGGAAGACCATTTGGTTCCATTTCTATTGCCCGCCTCTTGACATTAGGTTTTCAGTTTTTAAAAAAAAAAAGTATCTACACCTTCAGGAAAATTCTGAATTCAATTCAAATGTTCATCCACATAAAATATCAACCTTCAATGTTTTGTTTTGTTTTGTAGTGGTTTTTTGTTTTTGTTTTTTTTTCCTCTTCTGGAATTTTTTTCTGTAGTTAAAAAAAAATGATGGCAAAAATAAATTGTCAGACCACATGAAGACCATTTGCACAGCACATAAAAACTGTTTTCATTGGGTAAGGTATAAAACTAAAAAAAAAAAAAAAAAAAAAAACAAACAAAAAAAAACATTCCATTGACGTCTGTGCAAACTGGAAGCCAACTTCTTGTTCAATGAAGTTTCTTCATTCAAGGCAAAGATTCAGACGGACATTCTTCAGTCCTGTTTATGGTCTGTGAAAACAATTGAATAAGAGTGGTCATTAAATTAAAGTAACTTTGAAATCACCTTCTGTGCCCTTTTCCAATGAGGCAGCTTTAAAAGATACCAAGCTTTCAATATAACATAGTCACAAAAGCATCATAACATCATACTGAGTCTATGAGATTGTCAAATTCTGCCACTTTCACTTAAATACAGATTTGGGCCAGAGAGTTTGTTTACATTAAAAATCAAGGTTAATAGCTTACGTTGTAGCTCCTTACAGATCCTTTGAATAATTCTGTTCCTTCAAAACTACTGTAGGAATCATCACTAATTCCAGCAACATATATGAGATTCTTTACTCTGCACCCAAAATAACTGGGTTGTATGTTATCTCGTGGTATTCATCACGTACATTTACACAAGGCTTATTGCCTGAGGAAATAAGTGAGACAGTTAAGAGGCCAATGCAGTTTTGTTCTTTTTCTCTTCCCCTTCTCTTCTTTCTTGTTCATTCCCTCTGTCAAGATTATAAGTTTGTGACAGCAGGAACTATATTTTACTTATACCTTTTGCCTTTTAGGCAGAGTGGTATATCCACAATAGGTGTTTAACTAGAAAAATATCATTTTACTATATGCCACTTTGCTTAGCTCATTTCGAATAGACTTCTGCTACTGCCCTTTCTACGTTGCAAGGTTAACCTTCCAGCAAGATGACTTTACTCTTAGCTCTTTTGCCCACAGATTAGAAGTTTGTAAAATCACTTCAGAGTTGTGCTATAGAAAGAAGGACCTTTATATTATCTGTAAGTCACATTTAGCTGAAAGCCTTTTTGTTCAGGGTATCGGATGACAGCAAAAAGTTATGCAAGTTCTTCTGATGCACAGTTGCTTAATTTAGTAAATATGACTCAGTGTTACTATGTGTAGTTTTACAGATTGTTTACTATACAAGATGCATGACTGAGGGAGTGGGGGCTAAATTTCAGCCCATTGTCTGTTCCCCAAGGTATGTACCCTGGAGGAGAGCTGTAACCCCAGTTCACAGTGCTTTAAACTGTGTAATGTGTAGCTTGAGACGGCCCAGAAAGGACATAGTTTCCTAATTTGCAAAAAGCCATCATATGAGCCAGCTTATGCTATTAGGAACCTGATTAATTTCTTCCTAAAATCATGTGAGGAAAGCTACCAGTTGATATATCGAATATTCAATTTTTATCAATAGGTTAAGTCCCTAAAAATATATTTCTGTGTTATATGAGGAAGTGAGATATCTTTTAAGAAGCAAAGCAATTACAATTTTCATACTGTAGCAACAATAAGAAAAATTTTATTAGCGGTAGTCATGGGAACCATGGTCTATATGTTAACTATCTCTAGCTTTGCACACTATAGACTTGCTCCATTTATCTCTAAAAATCTACATTACTATGGGAACAAATTTTTTTTCTTGGTTATATAGCTGTGAGTTGGGGGGTGGTGGGGGGAGAATCTGTTCTTTGTTCCCACTCCCATCTTCTACTCTGATATTATTGTGTACTGAACGGAAAATGCCTAAAACACCATGAATCTCTTTAGCAGCTGCTCAGTGAATGATGTCTTCTTCAGTGAACTACAGTGCATAGAAGACCTGATCCATCAAGCTCAAGTACTTGATTCACTGGTCTCAGAAGCATTGATATTTATGAGCTAGGCTGGAAGTACTTTAGGTTTTATAACTGTACACAAATGCTTCCAATAGCCCTCTCCCATAATTTGCTTGCTTCTTAAAGTGGCCCCATTGCCACATGAAAACAAATGATGGCAAATAGATGGTTGTACTTGACAAGTTCATGTTTGCTAGCTGAAGTTTGAAGGAAAAAGGATCTTGCCATTGAATAGAACTGAATTCACTCCTGCCCATCTCCTCTGTCCTGGAATAAATGTGAATGTGCACATTTATATAATACTTATGGATTGCACTGAAATTCATAAAAATAGAAGGGTTCTATTTTTTTTTTTTAGGCTGGGATCTTTGGCAACAAGAACATGTTAAGTTGGACATTTTAGAAATAAAATGGGGTACAACTTGAAAACAGGAATTCATGTGAAGAAATAATGAGTATGGAAATCATTTGCAAATTGTAAAACACAATGCACAATGTATTATTATAATATATTACAATACGTAAAATGTTGTATTATTCACAAGTGTAAAGGACATAATTTGCTCATCATTAATATACTGACAATGTATAGAAATTTGGTATTCATGGCAGTTCAGGTAGCCAGAGAAGATTTGAAGTATAAAAAGAACTTGCAATACCAGCGTTGAAATGAGGGCCTTTTAAAGTCAGAGTAAATGTGGTAGAGTAGGAATTTCACTGAATTTAAGAATACAGAGGCATTTTGAATCCTCTTATCACTCCTCCTCCCTCAAAAAAACAAAACAAAACAAAAAAAATAGGCACAGTGGATAGATTGGAACGTAACAAACCATAATCTTAGAAATCCGTTTTAGAGCAGGAGGAAGTCTCAGAGATAGCCAAATGAAGCAATATTTTCCAGAATAATTCCTGACAGACTAGCTTCATGTAATGCTATGTAAAAAGTGGGATTCTGTGATCCCGAATGTAGAAAAAGTCACAGTACATTCCCACTACTGGCTAAATTAAAGAAGTAGTTAGAGTACCCAAAAAGAAGGGCATGAATATTTTTAAAAAATTGTTCTTGAAAGAATATCATCTTTTACATAGGTATCCAAATTACAACATGTAGATGAAACTTTGTGAGACATCTTTAATCATTTAATTTATCTTTTCTTTTTTTAAATTATACTTTCAGTTCTGGGGTACATGTGCAGAATGTACAGGTTTGTTACATAGGTGTATATATGCCATGGTGATTTGCAGCACCCATCGTCTACATTAGGTATTTCTCCTAATGCTATACCTTCCCTAGCCCCCCACCCCCTGACAGGTCCCAGTGTGTGTGATGCTCCCACCCCCCAGTGTCCATGTTCTCATTGTTCAGCCCCCACTTATGAATGAGAACACATGGTGTTTGGTTTTCTGTTCTTGTGTTAGTTTGCTGGGAATGATGCTTTCCAGCTTCATCCATGACCCTCCAAAGGACATGAACTCATCTTTTTCTATGGCTACATAGTATTCCATGGTATATATGTGCCACATTTTGTTTATCCAGTTTATCATTGATGGGCATTTGGGTTGGTTCCAAGTCTTTGCTATTGTGAACAGTGCCACAGTAAACATACGTGTGCATGTGTCTTTATAGTAGAATGATTTATAATCCTTTGGGTATATACCCAGCAATGGGATTGCTGGGTCAAATTGTATTTCTGGTTCTAGATCCTTGAGGAATCACCACACAGTCTTCCACAATGGTTGAACTAATTTACACTCCCACCAACAATGTAAAAGCATTCCTATTTTTCCACATCCTCTCCAGCATCTGTTGTTTCCTGACTTTTTAATGAACGCCATTCTAACTGGTGTGAGATGGTATCTCATTGTGGTTTTGATTTGCATTTCTCTAATGACAAGTGATGATGAGCTTTTTTTTATGTTTGTTGGCTGCATAAATGTCTTCCTTTGAGAAGTGTCTGTTCACATCCTTTGTCCACTTTTTGATGGGGTTGTGTTTTTTCTGGTAAATTTATTCAAGTTCTTTGTGGATTCGGGATATTAGACCTTTGTCAGATGGATAGATTGCAAAAATTTTCTCCCATTCTGTAGGTTGCCTGTTCACCCTGATGATAGTTTCTTGTGCTATGCAGAAGTTCTTTAGTTTAATCAGATCCCATTTGTCTAGTTTGGCTTTTGTTGCCATTGTTTTTGGTGTTTTAATCATGAAGTTTTTGCCCATGCCTATGACCTGATTTTCTTCTAGAGTTTTTATGGTTTTAGGTCTTATGTTTAAGTCTTTAATCCATCTTGAGTTAATTTTTGTATAAGGTGTAAGGAAGGGATCCAGTTTCAGCATTTTGCATATGGTTAGCCAGTTTTCCCAATATCATTTATTAAATAGAGAATCCTTTCCCCATGCTTGTTTTTATCAGTTTTGTAAAAGATCAGATGGTTGTAGATGTGTGGTGTTATTTCTGAGGCCTCTGTTCTGTTCCATTGGTCTATATATCTGTTTTGGTACCAGTACCATGCTATTTTGGTTATGTAGCCTTGTAGTATAGTCTGAAATCAGGTAGCATGATGTCTCCAGCTTTGTTCTTTTTGCTTAGGATTGTCTTGGCTATGCGGGCTCTTTTTTGGTTTCATATGAAATTTAAAGTAGTTTTTTCCAATTCCATGAAGAAAGTCAATGGTAGCTTGATGGGGATAGCATTAAATCTATAAATTACTTTGGGCAGTATGGCCATTTTCACATGATTATTTCAATAGATGCAGTAAAGGCCTTCAACAAAGTTCAACAGCCCTTCATGCTAAAAACTCTTAATAAACTAGGTATTAATGGAATGTATCTCAAAATAATAAGAGCTATTTATGACATACCCACACCCAGTATCATTCTGAATGGGCAAACCTGGAAGCACTTCCTTTGAAAACTGACACAAGACAAGGATGCCCTCTCTCACCATTCCTATTCAACATAGTATTGGACGTTCTGGCCAGAGCAATCAGGAAAGAGAAATAAATAAAGGGCATTCAATCAGGAAAAGAGGAATTCAAATTCTGTTTGCAGATGACATGATTGCATATTTAGAAAAGTCCATCATCTCAGCCCAAAATCTCCTTAAGCTGATAAGCAACTTCAGCAAAGTCTCAGGATACAAAATCAAGGTGCAAAAATCAAAAGCATTCCTATACGCCAGTAACAGGCAAACAGAGCCAAATCATGGGCGAATTTCCATTCACAATTGCTACAAAGGGAATAGAACACCTAGGAATACAACTTACAGGAGATATGAAGGATATCTTCAGGGAGAACAACAAACCACTGCTCAAAGAATAACAGAGGACACAAACAAATGAAAAAACATTCCATGCTCATGGATAGGAAGAATTAATTTGATT